GAGGTGTGCATGTTCCCCCTTGGACCTGCTGTGAACGGACCGCTCTCCTCCTCGAAAGTGGTTTCCCACGCAAGCTCAACATCTGGTTTTCTTTTCTGGCGGTGTGCATGCAAATCCATGTCCGGTGAAAATCCTGCTGGTGTTCGATTTTTTGGACCAAACCTTTGCTTATACTTCATTAGCTGATACGGAAAATGTCTTTGAAAATTCGGGTTGTAGTAGAAGTGAAACTAAAAAAATGGAAAGGAAAAGAGTTGCCACCACCTTGAGACTGGAAGCTGCAAAGATACAAGAACTAAGAATTTTAATTGCAAAAGAGAAATGTGGATACAAAAAAGGACTATCGGGGGCATTCTAAACCTGAAGTTTAGGCTGAATAAAATGGTGCGATACAGTCCTGTTAATAGTAACCAGTATTGTGGTTTTACCGCTTGGTAGCAGAGAAGTGCAGGATTTTCAAAAGCATACAAACTGATTTAGAAACCCAAATACCATTACTTTTCAGCAACTTTGGCGTGGAATGGACATGTACGTAACTATATGATGCTGCCACGTACCTTCTCGGCCTCCAGCAAATGCCACAAGAAAGCTGCAGATCTGATACAGCAAGTTACTTAGCAAACACCAAAAAAAAAATCCCAATACGATGAGAATATCTTTTCATTTTATGTGTTCAAAGTAGGTGGAAATAACCAATGTATATTTTTGTATATTTTATCAGCATTTCTACTACGCAGAAATGCTACCTCAAAAACTCCTGAACATGAACCAAGAAACAAAATGACAATCAGAACATTTGCTACCGTCCTCATCTCCTATTAGTAAAGGCTTATTTCATTGGAACAGAAATCTGTCCCACTAGAATATTCTGAGAGTTAGTTTGCATGTAGAGGATCCAACATACCTCCCTAGCTGTTTCTTCTGCTAGCAAGTCATTGCGTGAGCCCGATTTTGGAAAATCCCACAGCTTTCTGGTGAATCCGTACAGATGGAGGTGATGGATGAAGTTTTTCATGCTCTCACTTTGAAAAATTCTCAGATGTCCTCTCCTTGCTAGTACTTCCTCTTCAAACAATTCTTCATGAATCACTACACACTTTCCATTGTCACCCCACCAAATGGACTCAAACCGATCGCTTTCAACAGTGTCCCAAAGCTTCTTCAAAAAGCTGAAGCGTGTAGAGGCATCGCCTTTGCTCAAGCTCTCCTCAGATGAATTCAGATGCTCTCTTTTTGACCAGGGTTGCTTAGTCGAAGTTTGTAAAGACCTTTCTTCTATTGGAGGTCCAAGGGCAGCATCACTAGCTGCTCTTCTGTCACATGCTGGACAGAGAGAAGAAGTCGAGCCTGACGAATCAGCTCCCTTGGCCAGAACAGAATCACATGAAATTTCCGATGAGGAAAACTCCATTTTCAATTCTTTTTTCTCAGTTTGAGTAAATTTTTCAGTTGAAGCCATCTACCTTAGCAGCTAGACTGTCCTGTCAGACAGCCAGCTGAAAGGAAGTGACCGACTGAGAATCCCAAAGGAAAAGTCTCAAACATCACTATGACACCCATGCTGTGCTGCCATGACATCACAGAGCAGCATCCGTTTCCTAGCAACATGAAGCAGCAGCAGCAGCAAGTAGTTTTTTTTTCATTTACAGATTTTATGTCTCAAGAGCCAAAAAATAAAACTGCAATGAAATGATGTAGTGATAGGACAGTGCTGTGTTGGGTTGCAGCTAGTACCTGGTCCACGGGGAGGGACAGGGAGGTTCATCCAGGCTTTTAAAAAAAATACTTTTAGAGAATACTTATACTGTACAGGACAAGAATTTTAAACAATATATCACACTGCTAAAATGTTCATATAAATACTCTACAGACAATTGTGCAACCAAACCATTAGGAAGGTTCACACATTAGACGACCTCTATCTCTGTGGACAAGAAGTGGCACAATGCTGAGAAAAATTCAGCCAGGAACCATCTGAGTGTCCTCTGCTGGAAACCATGTTACAAACACAGAAGTCTTCAACACCTGGCTCAGTACAAATGCATACCCACCTCTGGATTAGTGTTTTTAAAATAATTGATTTTATCAGGCATATTTTTGTAGGAAGTTTATTTCCACCTGTGAACCTTACTGAAACCTTACTGAAACACTGGCCAATGCCCAGGGACCTTTAGCTTTACTGAAAGTGGGAAGGTTTGCAAGTTTGTTGGTTCAAAACTGAACCTACGCAGACAAAGTTTTCATATCCAAAGATCTGGGGCTCAAGCTTTTGAGATGAACAGGCAAAGATACAAATGGGTGCTGAATTTGTGACATTTAAGCTGGTTTATAATAGGAATTTTTATTGGTTTTGTGTCGCACTTTTTTTGCATTACATCAGCCTTAATAACCAGAGCTGGATACAAGGAAGCCCAAGGAGACAGTTGCCTTAGTGTTCTTTGGTGCATAGTTTAGTGCCAGGGAAGTGACAAGGCAGACGTACCCCTATCAATGAAGTGGGATGTAGAAAAAGGAGAAGTGGCCATAAATGCATCTTAATCAGCATTTCTGTAGTTCTCAGGCTGCTTCACAAATACTATTTAAGTAAGCCTTCTAGCACGTCAGTGAGGTGCTTATAAGAACTGTGTGAATACTTCATTTTGGTTTGGTGACTTAACTGAAAAATTAGAAGTAATTTTCAGAACAGTGAACTGACCCAAAATGAAATGTATTCCTTTTGTCTAATCAAAACAATTTTTTTGATTCACATGAAAAATATCTTGGTGTTCAGTACTCATAAAAGAAAACAGAGCCAGAGGTTTAAAAAAGGAGGCAGAAAAGGTAAAGGTTCTGCTCTCTAACCAGATGTGGTGATTACAGCACTCTAAGTGGACATGGACATGTTACTGCTTAACGTGATAACCTGTAACCTACACTGAGAGAGTTCACACACGTGTGTACCAAATCAGAAAGCATCCTCTGCGCTCTAGTAATTTTGACAATGGTTGAGAATGGGTGAAAAGACATGTTATGTCTTTCTGTAATTTCACTAAAAAGCCTACATTTTATGAGACTTTTAAAGGAAACTAGCAATAGAAGTTTCACTAATTCCCTTTTTATGATGGTTCCAGCAGCAATACTATTTAATTTGCACAGGTCTTGTGCAGCTGGATTCCTAGTGGTGGTAGATTCAGGCATGCAGAGAAGGAAGAGAATGGCAAGCTCCTGTCTCTTGGAAATGTCAGGACCAGCCAATGGAAGACTGCTCAGCAGGATGAAACCAGCTGGGAGTTGTGCTGATTCTACTGGTGACAATGCCTGCAGGATCCAAGCAGCATCTCCAAGTCTCCTCCTACCTGGGGCTGAATCCTTTCTCCTCTGCAGCAGCCCCTGACGTGCAGAGAAATGCAAATTGTATCATGCTGCACCGCAGCTTGTAGATATGGCCCAGAACACAAGCTTTGAAAATCACAACTTATATTCCTTCAGTGTTAGTGTTAAAAGCTTATTACCCCACTTAAAGTCAGAGGAGGTGCCAAAAAGTTGCAACAGAACATAATACATGGGTAGCAAAACTTCCCAACATTAATGTAAAATGTTCTGACACATCGGAACAATTAGACCAGCTCAGCTCTTGCAGGTAGGCTGGCAGAACAGACTCATCTTGGACAGTGTTAATGCTGTTAGCCAAAAGCACTATTTTAGGAAGAGATGACATGAGATATTAGGTTCAGCTTTATATTTGTCATTGTGTTTTAAAATTATTAAAGCACCAACGAGAAGCAATCTTTATAAAAAGTGTTTTTAGAATGTTCAAGCTTAATAATTCACAGTGAATCCATTAAATTTACAAAGGTGCTTTAACAGCATCAAGTAACCATTCCTAAAATACAATAAAGAATTGTGTGTAAAAAAATCACTATTATGATATCACAGTAAATGATGACGATCCAAGGGTTTTTTAGTTATGTTTTAATATTTTCAGCCCTGTTACAACTAAAGTAAAACTCGCATGAAAATATCACATTGTTAAGCACAGTGTGAAAGAGGTGCTGGGGAAGTGGAGAAACAGAAAGCTTTAGTTGATGCTGGTCTGAATATCCCATTTAGCTTTGTGACTTTTGATAGCTCTTTTAGTGATAAGAAGCTTTTGTTATTGGTTGAAATACTCTGTGTGTGGGTGTAGATGTGTACGTAGTCATAAATTCCCAGTGTATGATGCAGAATTTCTTCATTTGAAAACACTAAAGCAAAATGCTTCAATGGGTATGTGAAAGCTCCATTCTAAACCAGACAGAACACAAGATTTTACATGGCCATTTTATCCTTGTAACCTAGCTTCAAGTTTAAAATCAACCTTCAGATTCCCCTGGATCTACATACAGAGTTTTATTCACATTGCTTACCTCAGCCAAGAAATTAATCTAAAACAGAATGTGTGAGACTGCTGGGTTCACTAAACACGTATAAACAGGTATCATCAGGTTTAAGAGACAGGAAAAGAGGCTGAAGAGGGAAAGACCAGAGTGACACAGACTATTAGCATTTTCTTTTGTAAGACCCATGTCCTCACATTCCAATTAAGCAGAGAAGGAGCTTACTGCTCTAAGATTTTCCCCTCGGTAGATAATTTTTGCCTAGTTGCACCATTGTACAGGGTGTTTGCTATGCATGCTAAGTCTGCCCTGATGAGCCCTGCAGACGTGCCCATGGCAGAGGTGCTGAGGGTCAGGAATGAGATGCGCTGCCAGAGCTGCACTCACAACTCTCCGTATTCAGGGCACGTGCTTGTGTTATGCCTCCCTCCTGCCAGGGCACTTTGGTTTTCTTAAGTAAAGCAGTACATTCAGCTATCAAAGGGAAAGGGTGAAGGCAAAGAAAAAGCCAGGAAGTTCCGATGTTTAATGAACCTTTCATTCAGTATATACAGCTTCTCACGTAAACTGAGTATGTGGAGAAATCCCATGGAATTCAGACCAGACAGTGCGTGGGCTAAATCATTGAGCAGGAAAGCAAGCGAAGAGAGGAAAAGGCTTATTCAGTTATCAAATCCAGTCCCTTGTTATTGTGGGCAATCCTATCCTATAATTCAATTCAGAAATTGATGTGTGATCCCATCATAAACTGATATATGATTCATAACAACAATTTTGTTGTGAAAAAGAGGATGGGGGAGGATTAACCTGTTCTAATTTTCTGTATGACCTTAGCATTTGGCATGAAGGATGCAAGAGAGGATGATGACCACCACTGTTCCTTCCTCCACAATAAACTTGCATGAAGTAGGAGGCTATTGCTCACCAGTGTAGACTCTAAGAACCTGAAGAATAATGGTAGGTCACTATGAAATAGTGTATTACTTACCCTGGTTCTCCATTTGTCCCCTATACTGGGTAGAAGAATACAAGAGGTATTTCTTCTGGAGCAAAAGTTAAATCACCGGGCTTTGAGCAGTTCCATGAGACTGAAATGCCAGCATTCTGCATTTTTCCTTACATCCAAGCTGAACAAGCAGAACAAGCAGAACAAGGAGAATGCTTGGCCCTTTGCGGTACAAGAGCTAGTGAGAACTCAGAGTGACTATATTATTTGTACACTCTTTGTCTTCTCTGAGAATACAGCTGCAAGATGGTATCTAGATTACAAAATTTTTTTAATATTATACAGACTATGTTGGCCCATGTGACAGAAGCTCCCGCCATGAGTTGGTGATCTGATTCAAGAGTGAGAGGGATACAGGCCAGTGCCTCAGTTCTTGCTTTTTTGTCATGGCACTGAAAATGAGCTGATTCCCACGCCTGTGGCTGGGTAGAGCCATAGAATATCCCACATCCAGGAAAAAGGCATAGCACATCACCAAAAGTTATACTGCAACCAAAGAGATGATTACAGCTCCCGTGTATGTGCCAATCCAGCTAGTCTGGTGAGAACCCAGCAGCCAAGACCCAGCAGCACAGCCTTTATCTTGTGCTATAGCTGCCAGAATAAGTAGCCAGTGCCCATCTGCCTCATCTAGCTGGCACTGAAGGCACTGTTTCCATGGTTTCATTGTCGTAGGTACGCATCGAGGGAGATGAGATGATGCTCAAGTATGCCTGCACAGGCTGCAACAAATGCTCTCAGTGTTGCACAGACATCCCTACAGCTACACTCACACTTTTCAGAGGCTCAATATACCACCCACTCCTCCTAACTCTTAATTCCTGAAACTAGGTTTCACACAGGATTTGAGTAGCCCACACGAGGTTTTGTTGGTCCTTTTCTTTGGAGACCATTTTGCTTATACTGAATATAATACATAGGAAAGTTATTGACCCTGTTATTGCTAATGTAAAAGACTTTAGAAAGCCAAATTGGTCTC